CCCGTGTGGGGGGGGGGGGGCGCCCTGCCCCAAGCCTCCAGTGGCCTTGACTGCCACTGCTATACCTGGTGAGTGTGGGGCTTTTTTTTTTTTTAAGTGCCGGCACTAGGCTGGAGCCAGGCAGGGGATGGGGCGGGCAGGGCAGCCATGGGGGCTTCTCCCGCGACTCCCCCCACCCGGGGAGAGGCAGGCACAGCCAGAGAAGTCGCGGGAGAACCTGCAGCCACCCGGCTGTGCATGCCTCTCCCCGGCTGATCCGAATCTCCGAAACAGCGCTGAAACTCCAAAACAGATTCGGCTGAATCAAAATGGAACAGTGATCCGAAACACTGAAACGAATCACTGTCCCTCCGAAATGGCCAAAACTGAAACAAAACATAGCCATTTCACACAGCCCTAAAAGACACCTCACCTTGGGTTCAGATACAAGCGGGAGGTGGCTGCTGCCGCTCTGACTCCAACCTGCCCCTACCTGCCCCCAGCTTCAAGAAAATTAATATAGCACCCCCTCTGCGGTCACTGTCTTTCTCACTTGCCCATTGCTGTCTGTAACAGGGGTGTGTGAAAAGTGGTTCCTTATACCCAGTGACTGCTGCTGGCTACACTGACATCTCCTGCAGCAGCAACATCTACCCTGGGGCTTGAAGGGGTGGTGAGGTATAAGGCTGAGGCTGCTGAGATGCAACCATCCACAATAGCCAGGATGCAGATCTTACCAGTTACACTTCTGCTGGCAACACCTCAGGGCATTAGTGGGGAGGGAATCCCCCAGCAAAGGGGAAGGCAGGCAGGTCACAAGAAATGAATGGCCTGTCACTGGTAAAAGCCCGCTATAGGATACATCAAGTTCATAAACTGAATTTGTGGAGCAGTATAGGGGATTTACCCATGTATTTTCCATGCGTTTTGAGGTGTCTGACTAAATTCCCTGCACTGCTTTGAAGGTATGAACTTGTGTTTCTAAACTGAATTTTCTTGTCTGTTCAGAACTGCTCTGCCAGATGGTTGTACCATAATTTTATTTTAAATTGTATTTGAAAAGTTATTAAGTATTAATTCAATTAACTCTTCCTATGAAGGCTGGTTTAAAAGTAAGTAATTATTTCAGCTTGAAGACCCCAAAATATCAATGATTTTTTTTTTAAATAAAGGAACACCTCAATATCATAGCTTAACATTTAGCAAAAACATCTAACAGCAAGGCTAAAGGCCCTGACACATTACATTTAAGTGAAATTAAGGTGTTAATTTCACTTTAAATAGTAATCCGACCACACGTTCAAGGCAATTTATGAAGCAATAATATAGCTTATGAGAGCCACAAAGCTATTCCACACATATAATGTCTTTGTGGCTCATTTGTATCATGCCTTAAATTGAACATGCATGTTGTGGCTGACCCATGACCAATCCTAGTGATGAGCAGGGAGTAGAGATCTGGCGTAGGGTCTCCCCAGGGTCCAGGACACAGCCATCCCCTACCCAGTCAGTAGGTTTGGGCTGGGAGCAGCATCAGGTCCTGAACCCAGCCTCCCATCCAATTCCTGAAGGCATGTGGGAGGGTTGGAGAGGAGCATCCCAACATCAGAGAACATCTCCCTTCACTGCACCATGGACCTTTAAAAAACAGGCATGCAGCTGGGAGTCCCTGCTGCATGCCTGCTTTAAATTTTCTGGGGTACCTATGGAAGTGGCAGCTGGGGAGCTGGGAGCTCCACTCCACAGTTGCAGGCACTGTTTTATGGTGTGGGGCATGGGCAGCTGGGGGAACTGGGAGCTTCCAAGCTCCCCAACTACCTGCACCCTGAACTGTGTGTCTCAGTATATGGGTAGCTTTAAAGAGTGCCACTGAAGCAACTTCCCTGCTGGGGACTTCAAACCCCACACCTGGCAGCTCTGGCTGGGCTGCTGGGCGCAGGGGATAAGAAACTCCCTGCAAGGTTTAAAGCCCTGAACAGAGAAAGCCTTTTGGCTATCACCTCCCTGCATCAAGCTGTCAAGCATGGGGTTTTAGCAAACAGCCTGGCCTGTACAGCCCTTGTCTCAAACCAGGGCTGTCCCAACAGAGGCCAATAACCAACTGATTGTCAGTTCCAGGCCCCCAGACTACAATGGGAATTCAAACCAGCTCTGGTTTGAGCTGACTGTCAGTCTAGGCTCCGGACAGCATGAGACTTGGTTTGAGTTTCCTGGAGGAGCTCGGGGGCCAGCTAACAGCCGATTGTTCACTCAACTGGACCTGCCAGCACTCCTCTTTCAGCTTGCCAGTGCAGGAGGAGCCCAGAATCATGATCCTTACCCTTGCACTGGCAAGTATTAATGGCACAATTGGGATCTGATCCCTGATCTCAACAGCTGTATTTCCTGCCATGCATGTGTGGCATGGCAAGAGGCGTAATTGTTGGGATCAGGGATCAGATCCCATTGCACCATTAAATAGCACGTGCCAGGGGCCTAAGACTCCCCGTTCATGTTTCAGGGCTTTCTACTACAAGGAATCTCAGAATGGTGAAGGAGCGGTGTTGCCATAAATAAGAGTTTTGCAATAATTAGTTGTCTCAGAGATGCTGTGGGACCCTTAAACACATTTTATACTGTGAGTTTAAATGAGCCTTTTAATATGATTTAATAAAATACATTGCAGCAAAGCATACAATTATCTTTCCCTTTAGAAACCTTTTTAGGATAGTGGAAGAAATAAGAGGGTAGGAACTTTGGTTTTTTAAACCATAATTTAATGGAAACCTAATAATTTATCATCCCAGATGTAAAACTATACAAAAAGTCTTAAATAGCTTCACAGTGCATCAGCTTGACAGTCTGTTTCTTGGTGCCCAAAGACATGCCCAGCTCCGAGACAGTATGCAGCATATGCCAAACTGTGCTGCACCAGTGTAATGCAACAGCTGCCATGTGGGTGCCAAGCAGGGGGGGGGGTAATCCCCGCTGCCCCTCACTTGCACGCACTGTGGGGGGGAGGGGGTGTCTCTGCCATGAGCCCCCAGAAGCCCTGATTGTTGCTGCTACAGCCAGCGAGTGTGGGGCTTTTTTTTTTTTTTTTTGTAAGTGCCGGGACTAGGCTGGGACTCGGCAGAGGATGGGGCCAGGCAGGGCAGCCATGGGGACTTCTCCCATGGCTTCTCTGTCTGTGCCTGCCTCTGTCCCGATGTGGGGAACTGTGGGAGAAGCCCCCATGGCTGACCTGCCCAGCCCTATCCTCTGCCTAACTCCAGCCTAGTCCCAGCACTTAAAAAACAAAGCAAACCCCTGCACTCACCAGCTGCAGCACCTGAGCCCTCCCGTGCAGCTTGGGACAGTGGGAGGAAGTGGGGATCGCACCACCCCCCACTTGGCACCTGCGTGGCAATTGTCACATCACGTGGGTAGAGCACGGCTCGACAGGGCGCTGCACGCTGTCTGGTAGCTGAGGCAGCTCTACCTGTCAGCCGGAGCCTGGCACCGCTCAGCCCCAGCAACCCCAGCTCCCAGGCAGTGTGCAGAATTTCCCCCTTAGAGGAAAAAAAACCACAGGAAATCGTGGGTTTCCATTTGCAGGCTGGCCAAGTTCTAGTCAGCAAGGGGCTGCAGGGAGCAGCAGGACGGCGATCAGGGGCAGAGGGCACCATGTACCTGTGGCAGACAGGCAGCAGTGGAGAGCAGCTCCCGCAGCTCCTTCCAGGTAAGCCTCTGTGTGTGTGTGTGTGTGTGTGTGTGTGTGTGTACACACACACACACACACACACACACACACACACACACACACACACAGAGTGGCATTTCATTTTAATCGTGGAAGAACATGGATTTTGGGGTTTTAAACCAGAGAATTTGTGATTTTTAAACAGAGAAAACCAGGATCCTTGATCATAAACCTCTGCAAGGTTGGGGGAAAATGAAAGTAACACTGAACATGCTCTGCAAGGAGCAGCACAGTGAGCTCATTGGGCTCCCAAGTTGCTGCTACTCAGCTACTTGCTGTTATTTATTAGCCTTTTCAAGGAAAGATTTTTTCCCCTTCGTTTTTTTCCCTTGTTAAAAAACAAGGCGTGTATTTATCTTGTTCTGGGGCATGAAGCATGGAAGAAAATACAGTGTATAAATCAAATGTTACAATTACCCCATCTCAGTAAGTACATAACAGAACTAACAGAACGTATAAAGAAGGGCAACAGAGATGACCGGAGGTATGGGACAGCTCTCATACAAAGAGAGACAAAAGGGCCCAGGACTTTTCTGCTTGGAGGTGACAACTGAGGTCTATAAAATAATGAACAGTCCAGGAAAAGTCAGTAAGGAACTACGATTCACTATTATGCCTCACAGTCCAAGCAGTAGGGGGGCACCTGATGAAATGATCAGGCAGCAGTTTTAAAAACAAAATGATATCAAGTCTTAAAAAACGCACCCAATGAATTCTGGTAGAATGAGATGGCACAGTTGGCATCTTTGGAAAGTCAAGGTTAGACGGCTTCACTGCTTCAAAACATTTGGTGCAATTTCAAAATAGTTCTTACAATACTTTGGTCACGAAATTATCACCCCCGTGTACCCTCCTCTCTTCTTCTTCTGTGTCTCCCTCTTCCTTTCCCCCTCCTTTTCCCTTTTGTTACTTATTGTGACAGACGCGTGCATCGTTCAGACTAACACAGAGTTGCTATACACATACTTCTGATTTGTGTGTTGCATTAAAAAAAATAGCTATAATACATAAAAGTTAGTGATAATATATAGAAATTAATTAGAAGTAAATTAATAATAAAACTCCATGTCATTTAGAATAAACAACTCCAGCTCAACGTCAGCTTGGTGGTGCCGGACACCTGGGAGCAGACACAAGTGGGGATCTGACCTGGGGCAGGACACAGCGGTCAAGGTCTTTTACTGCTTGCTCGTTTACTGCTCAAGCTTGAAAATGTCGGCTATTTACTCCTTCCAGGCCCGTAGAAAAGCAACAGAGTCGGGTTTTTTGGTACAAAGGGCTCAGGCAGGGGCCTCTTCGCAGGCTCTGTACTACTCTTGTGGCTCAAGGGGGTTGGAGGGGTGCCTCGACGCACCCCAGGGGTCTGCATGCAGCAGCGCTGCTCCTACCGTATATTCTTGAGTGCGACGCGCACCTTAACCTCCCCCCCCCGCGCTGGTACACATTGGAGTGCGCAAATCAGTGAGGAAATACGGTAACAGCGGTTGGGGCGGAAAGGGGTGACAGGGCCTCCCAGAGGACGCTCCGCACCGGCAGCGGCCTGGCTTCGTCTCCTCCTCCTCCCTCCAGCGCGCGGAGGCGCGGCCCGGGCAGGGGCAGGGGAAAGGGAAGGGGCCCCGCTTCACCTGCGCGCCCGACTCCGCCTTCCCGAACCCGTCACTCATGGCGCGCACGACTGAGGCGGGGGAGGAGCCAGGCCGGCCTCTGCGCATGTGCGCTGCCCCATCTCAGTCACTGGTGCGGACCGCGCACGCGCGGTTCATTTGCCAGCCCCGCGGCCATTGGGGCGATGATACGCATGCGCATTGCAGTCCTTTGGGCTGGGCGGGGGAGGGGGAATCCGGCTAAGCTCGGCGTGTCCTAGCGGGGGGCGGAGCTTCCTGCGGGGCGGGGCCAGTACGCGTGCGCTAGGCGGGACATTAATTGCCCGTTTGACTGGTGACTCGCGCAATAAATGGATGTAGACCCGGCCATACATGCAATGTAATTAGCACATGATTAAAAATGCACTTATTAAAAAACTCTAAAAAAAGAGCCAGCCAGCTAGGTAATTAGGGCTTGGCAGGGTGTAACAACTCTAGAGCTGGTTTGTATCCAGCCATCGTTGGGAAGTGTAGCAGGGAGAGGCAGTCCATTTTATAACCTGCAGTATGGTCCTGGAGTTCATGAATGCATTCGCTGGATGTAGATGTTGCCTGTCCCCACAGAGGCTGAGAGCTGTTTGCAGGGCGAGAAGCAGCCGGATCAGAAGTCGAAAACAGCAATAGGGGCGAGCACAGGCCTCACGGGGTAGAGTGGTCACCAGAGAGGGGATTCCCAGAGGAAATTTCATTTCTATGCTCTGGGACTTTTTCTCCGCCTTTATCTGAAGTTTTGAGGAGGACACGAGAGTGCCTTACAGAAGTAGGGCAGGACAGGACCTCCAAAGGTCACAGTCCAACCCCCTGCCTGAGGCAGGATCATCCCTATACAAACCTTCCTATGCCAATCCGTAATCGAAACTCTCTGTAAAACTACCAGCAACCCTGACACAACACAGACATAACACCTTAACTTGCCACAGCGAAAGCACATTTGAAAGACCATTTAGATGATCCAGAGTGATGCATCCTCTGTGGTTGGTTAGCTCAGCAGATAGCCATGCAAGTCTGAAGTCAAGTATGAATCAGGGTAGATTTGTACCTCAGAGATGAACCAAAGTATATGTATGTGTGAGCAATGAAATGAAATCTTCATAGTTTCCCAAGCAGGAAGCAACTGTGACCACCTGAAACCTGAGGCACTGCCCCTGCCTTTGTTTCAAGGTAATCTGCATCATCACAGAACCTCACATAGAGGTGAGAGGCTCCATTTCAGCTATGAACTGACTCCAGACGAGTTTTCCATCTATGGACTCCTCTGTGAAATCCTAAGCAATATGAACTTTCATTTTTACCCAGGAGAACTTTTACAGTCTTTTCTCCAATGCCTGATGAAGGGTGTTTGTGCCTGCAAGCTTGCAATTAAAGATTTTTTTTTTGCAAAAATTTTGCCGGTCTAATAAAAGATAGCATCTCTACTACGAGTTCTGATTGCTTCACACACACACACACACACACACACATATATGCATATGCAGCACAAGCTTTTGTGGGCTGAAACTCACTTCATCAGATGCGGTCAGAGCAGCATGTAGGTAAACAATGAGAGCCGAAGTAGGGAAACAATGAGAGCCGAAGACCTTATTTTTATGTTCTCTACTCTGGGTACAAAAGACGTGGATTACAAGAGCAATACTGTGCAATTTGACCATATGACTTCAGTTGCTGTCTCAGATGTCAGTGCTGATTTTACTCTCTGGTCTCTGCATCTTGTGCTCTTCCTTTCATACACATCTACCCAAACTGTATCTAGGGAAGCTCATGTGGTCACATATTTCAAATTTCTGAACAGTCTGATATATGCCTTGGTTTTGGGTGGTGTTTTGACTTGAATCCTTATCGTTTCAGCTATCCTGTCCAAAAGAGGCATAATTCCTTCTTACAGCTATCTTAAAAGAAGGGTTAAGTGATACTTCAGTGAGATTTCACCCAGCCTATAAATGTCAACACTGTAAAGCTTTTAATATAAATTTAAATGCCAACACCATAAACTGTTCTCATAAAGCATAGAAGATAGGAAAGGAAAAATTATGAAAATCTACACAGCTTTTGAGGGAAAGGGTATGTAAAGGAGTAGCTAGTGGCTAGTTGTATACCTTAAGAATGAGCTGTTCCTTAATAAGACCTGAGAGGATGTTAAATGATTTAATGGTTTAATTTTCTTGACAGAAGACTCAGCTTTCTCAAGTTTGGGAAACATTGCTGCAAGGAACAGTACTTTAAGAGTTTGTGGTGACAGTGTGATAACCTCACCTTTGCCACACGAGATGTTCCTGTCCTCAGAGTTGAAAAGGCTTGATAGTTGAAAGGAGTTGCTTTTGGAAGTCCCTGGAGACTGAACTAACTCAAGAATATGGTGGGCTTGTCACTATTTGTAACTGCTGTGTCAAATTTGTTACTTTTATGGTGTTTTCAGTCACCCTTCTCATCCAATTAAGGTCACAGCAGTGACTACAAAAGAATGATGAATCCAGAGGCTTCAATATACTAAATAAACACTGCTTGACTGAAATCCTAATTCCACCCCTGTCATTGTCCATACATGAACAGAGGCCTGTGGGATTGTTTTTGCCTATATGACTCTACAGGGCTATGCTATTGTATTAATATAATAATTATAAATAATTTTGACTTGAATGTACAGTGCAAGCTAGAATACCACTCAAGTGGGACCTCACCACAGAAGTGCTAAACAAAAACAGCAAGTAGATAGTATTAAATTTCCCCAGGCTGTGAATTACCTTCTTATCTTCTACTTCTTGGAGCATCCAGCACATAAAACTTAAGATTTATCACAAGAATAAAACTTGCAGGTCACCTTTAAGTTAGTTTACTGTCCACAGTCTCTAGCATGTTGTTATTTTTTATCCATTTAGTCAATGAACTTGGCACTGTGTAGTTGGGAAATTCATCTTTACCTTGACATTGCTTCTGCCTTGGAAAAGTATATCATCCATACTTTTATCATTTAATGATTCATATAGTTATACAGTAAAAGTTCTGTTAACCAGCATCTTACAAGCCGGCATGCTCAATTAACTGGTGTGCCAGTTTGTAAGATAAAGTGAAACTCGAAGTGCCCACTGTGGCACTTCCGGTTTCTCCGAGCCCCCACGGCCTGGGGCAAAGCAGCCTGCACTGCTGACCCCCCATGGCCCAGGGGCATAACAGGCTGTGCGGGGCCTGCCTCCCTGTCCCACAGGGCCCGCAGGAGGGGCAGCAATGTCATGGGAAGGGCGGTGATGCTGCAGGAAGGGTGGTGGGACACTCCAGATTCTGCGGGAGAAGCGGTGGCCTGGGCCGCTCAATTAACTGGCATATTTTGTTATCCAGCATCCCCCATTCCTTGGGTATGCCGGATAACAGAGGTTTTATTGTATTTAATTTGACTGGCGATACAAAAAGTTGATACTGAGTATGATACAAATACTAAACTGTTACCCACATACAGTTATAACACTAATCTTGTAGTATAATCCTAAATCTCTGCCCTCTGAACTTCAGCAGGCATCTTCAGTTCTGGTTCCAACAGCATCCTGTTTTTTAGAACTCTGCCTGGACTCCTTATCCACCGACCTCTCTGACCTTGTATCTGCACCCTCAGGGTGAACTCTAGGACCTATTGAAGTAAGCAGCAAAACTTCTATTGACACTAGTGGAACCAGGAATTCATCCTCACTTTTTGACCTCATTCTTCATTTCTATTTGAATTTTTCCAAACTTGTCATACAGTACCCCAGAGAGAATCTTCCGTAGCCGTGGGATATCATTCCACTTTTCTCTCTCTCTCTCCTTTTAACAAACAGAATCCTCTTTTAATGCGACAGGGCCATACAGTAGATTATACTATCTAGGGACCTTATGCATTAGCAGTTCCATTTCTAATGGCAGGAAATTAGTCTGTCTTAGCTTGGCATATGAGAAGCCTGAGGGTGCCCCATGAGCCATCAGTACTGCCTGAGTAACTGTTCCTGCAGTTCTTATATAGTGCATCAGCAGTAAAGGACACCAAAGCAATAGCTTCTCCTTTAGTAGGAAGAGCAGACTGTGGGCTGCATCACTTCCTTTCTGAATGCGTGTTCTGGAGAATGCCCCTCGCAACCAATGCTGATTTTACAGATTTGGCAAATAGAGGGGTTATCCTGCAAGTTCAGTTTCTGTATTTCTCATTACACATGCTTAAGGATACTGTAGGGAGTGAAGATACAGTAGGCTAGTGCTTGAGAAGGAAGTGTTTAAAATTGAATGTCAGCCCTGGGCAAAATGAGTTTGTTGGACCTGACTCTTCTCTGATGAAGATTGCATGTCAGTCATAGGTGCCAAGTGCATGGGGGCCTGAGGGCCCTCACCCTCCCTTGGGAAGAAGGTAGGGTGGCACAGGACGGGGGGAGGGGGCATCATTTTAGGACTCCCACAGGCATAGGCGACTGGTAGGTGGTGAACGGGGTGCATGTGC